AGCGTTCGTACGAGCTTCGCCATAAAGAAGCGGGTGCCCGTACACGCAAAAGTCGTTCAAGTTCCAGGCGTCGAACTCGATAGCCTCGCCGCGCTTGCGACCTGCTTTGTCGGCAATCGAGAGCTGAGCACGTTGCCAACGCCGCTTCCATGCGGGTTGCGATAGAAGATCCCTCCATTCATTCGGCCTCAGGCGACGAAGATTTTTGTCGTTCCTGTTATCGCGCGCCATCCGCACGCGCGCGAGGAAAGTGGGAGAAAGCCAGAGTGCGAAGAGGAGGTGCTCGATCATCGTGTCGTCTGTCTTTCCCCGGTAGAGGACAGACATGGGCGGTGTCCACGTTGCCAGCGCCCCATCCCCTCGCCTCGCCTTCAGCTCCTTATCCTGCGGTGCGCCGTCCGGAGGTTTCACATATATATCGAGGAGCTCGACGTGCTCAAGCGCCTTCGCCTCGACGGCGAGAAAAGCCGTGCGCGCTCGCGGGAGGTCCATGTCGCGGAGGACATTCTTCAAGTCNAGAGAGAAGTCAGCGAATATACGTCATTATAAGGATACAGATCACGCACCTTTCGCCTTCCCCTGCATCCTTGCCAAGTCCGCCTCCTTCCTATCCGACATCCGCATCGCACTACCAGGAATCGAGATGCCATGAAAGGCGATAAGCTCGATGTGGCGCCAGTCGATGCCCTGAGGCGCATACCAAGACAAGGGAAGGTCTCTCTGACGAATATCGGCTACTGAGCGTAAGTACTGGTTGCCGTCCACGATAACATGCACTTACAAAACGGCACGGATGGTACAACACTACAGCGAGGGGGCATATGATCGCGCAAGATCCCATCAGGCACATAGTATTCGTCGCGGTCGACGAGCGCATAAACGGGGGCACCGATATGGACGAGGAATCGCAGGTAGATGTTGATCTGCTCCCCGCTGACAATGACACCCCGTCGAGACGTCTTCGCGCTGCGTGGGATGAGGCGGCGAAGCGACTTTGCGTACTCTTTCGGGAGAAAGGCGGCCATAAAGTCGATGTACGCGGTCACGAAGGCGGAGGAACGTTGATTTGTCCGGGCGCAGACCATGTAATCGGGCCACGATCTGAGCCCTGCCCAGTGCAGCGTGCCCCACGAGCGCTTCATGATGCTCGCAGCCGCGTAGGGAGGCCTGATCTCCGTGGCGACGCGGTGCTGGACGGTTGCCTTATCGTGCTTCGTCTTGGCCATGGCGTCATGGAACAGCCCGACAGCAGCGCGCAAGAGGTATTCCAGCCTCCGGAACTCCTCTTCCCGTTCCTTGTGCACCTCGTCGCAACTCAGGAAGACGTTCTCTTGAGCGCGGCCTTTCTTGTTGACGCCGGGGACTGTGTCTTCCTTGCGCGGCTCGCGGAATTGAGGCAAGCGCGTCATGGCGGAATCGGCTGCGTCGGGAGTTGGCGTGAAGGCGAGATACAGCGCCGCGGGATCGAGAGGTTGAGGCTGACGACCGGGATCATGCCAGCCCCAATTGCCGTCATCGCAGGTGTAGACGTGTTCGGGGCCGAGTAGCGCGGGATCGCCGGGTCCATAGTCAGTGTTGATGCACACCAGGACGTGGTTATTCGCCCATGGGATGGCGAGCTTGGGCTCGAAGTCGAGGGGGAGTTTCTTGAGCGGCCCGGGTGGTTTCGCCGCCTGCTGGGTGGGTGGCGGAGGCGGTGAGGCGCGGGAAGACGACGCGGTAGGGGATAGCGCGCGTTTAGGCGGGCGCTGGACGTTTCTCGGCGGGGA